TGCACCTCACTGTGAGGTCAGCTGATGTCCTTCCTGCTGAAGGGGAACAAGCAGAAGCTGGGGGGGGTTGACCTCACCAGGCCACCTGGGGTTAGGACACAGCTAGAGCTGCCTTGAGCCACCATGCCCCTGGGGCTGGAGGTCAGCCAGGGCTCCTGAGGCCCTGAGGGGTGTGGCTCAGAGCTTTCCCAGGGGGGAGGGGGAGAGGGGAGAGGGGAGCCAGGAGCCCCAGCCCCAGCCGTGGGGCCCAGGGAAGGGGTCATCACTTGATCCGCTGCACAGGCTGCAGTCTTTGTCCAGCCCCTGCCTGCTGTGAGCTCCTGAGCAGGAGCCACCTGTCTGGCATAGAGCCAGGCTGAGGGGACCTGTAAACATGCCACCCCCSAGTCAGGTCCCCACGCTCCAGTCCTCCCAGCTCTCACCTCTCGTTTCCTGCCCCAAGCCCAGGGCCCCCCATGTGTGGGGGTGGCCACCCCGAGGGTCTGTCTCAGAGCCATACCCACGGCCCTGGGCTCCAGAGCAAAAGGGCCCCTCTCCCTCTAGGGCACCCACGTCTCACAGAGCAGTAGGAGCAGATGAGGGACTCCCACCCCCAGGCCCGTGGCCGACCCAGAGCCCCTGCCCCATGGCCAGCCCAGGCAGCCTCCGCAGAGGCTTTTCCCCAGCAGGCTTCCCAGGCCTCCCACCCGGCTGCCTCCCCTACTGCAGGGCAGGGCCAGGCGCCCGCCTGCCTTTCGGAGCACCACCCTGTCTGGACCAGGCTTCATCCCTAGGTGGTGGAGTCCCCTTGTCCTTTACACCCAGCTAAAGGGGCGCTGTCTGGAGAGGCATCCCTCCCCTTGCTAAGAGTGCTGCCACACAGGCTGGCCACGGAGCCTCGCCACTCCTGTGGCTCCAGAGCCTGGGGGTTATGGCCCAGAGCAGGAGATTGAATGAGGGGTAGGTGGACGGCCAGCCGGGATGAAGGGACAAAGGAGAGAAGGCAGCTGGTTGGGCGGTCAGTTCTTGTGCAGGTCATTCCTGGTGGCAGCTGCAGCATGTGGCCCAGCCCTAGGTGCTCTGAGCATGACCCTGCATGGCCTGTCTTATAGCACAGTGACTTGCACAAGCCCAGAGCGTGTCCATGGTGGCACGTCTCCCCCGTGAGAGGTGGCACCGAGCACCAATGCGATTTGTGTTCCTATCTCTAGGCACAGACCAGAGGCACCGCTGGCTCACGGTGTTGGCCTGGGTGGTCTCTAAGAATAAACTCTGGAAAGTCAGGAGACCAAATAAAATGCCAAAATCTATCCAGGCTTTGTCACAGGTGACAGCAGTTCTAGACCCTCCTCTCAGCCCTGCTTCCTGGGGGAGGGGCAGCCTCCCGTTTGCCACAGTCCTCTGCTCCCCAAACACTGCCGGACCAGGCAGGGGCCAGCTGCTGTTTTATCACTGACTGTATTGGGGGGGGGGGGGATGGGGACAAAATATGCCTGTGAAATAGTTCCATGGCTTCTGAGAGCAGGAAAAGGAAAGACGGCTTGAGAGCCTCTGGGAGGCTCCCTGAGCTTCAGCCTAGGGGGAGGCTGAGCTCTAAGAATTCACAAGTGGAGGACTGTGGGCAGGGGCCCAGGCATGGGGCTACCTGGGAGACGGGAGGGATGGAGCAGCCCAGGCAGGCAGGGACGCAGGCACATGGACTCTCACCTGCCGCAGTCCGGCTGCAGCAAAATAACCAGGGGGGTGATGAGCAACTTCTGTACATTGATACAGCAGGAGTGGGAGCCGTGTATTGTAGGACAGGAGGGGTATATATACATTCCACACAGCTTATCTTAATTAGCATAAACTAGATACAGCAGTCAACCAATAAGGAATCTCCACACCTAATGGCTCGCTGGCGTTACTTCACAAACCACTCCCCCTGGCAAAATACCAGGCGCCATCCTGACTTGTTTACAGACCCTAACACTCTCCTGCCTTCCTGTCCATGCTGACGCCAGGCCATCACCTCCCTGGCCTCTGACTGCGTGGCCCACCCTCCACTCTCCTCCACCCTGTACCGGCTGCTTCCCCAGCCTTACCCTCTGGACCACTCCCTCCAGGCCCTTCTGTGACCCACTTCAGTGCCAGCTGCCTTGCTCATATCACCTCTGAACGGCAATCCTGTGACAGGTGGCTACAGACACTTTCTGGTGCAAGTGTCCCAGCCAGCTTAGCACCGACCCCCAGTGTCACTAGGCCTGGGCCTCAGGAAGTCAGATCCTTCCCAGGCTTATTTCCTCAACCACAAAGCGTGGGGGCAGAAGCAGTCCCTCACCCTGTCTTGCCAGGAGCCCTCTGCTCCATGCAGTCATTTCTGGATCGGGGGGCGGGGCAGGCTGGGGGCCAGGGGTGCGCACCTTGCCTGTCCTGTGGCAGTGTATTTAGTTACTGTTGAAGGCCACGCTCCCCCACCTGCCTAGCCATTAAAGTCACCTGGTATTTCATAACATGCCAATGCCCCGTCCCACCGTGGCTCAGCATGGCTGTGGCTGAACCGTCCACTCTGGTGCATAGCCAGGACAGATGGCTTTACTGTCCGGGTACTCTCTGGGCTCTCACAGCTCCCTCATGAGTGTTTGATGACCCCTTTTTGCCAGCGAGGTTGAGGCTGAGGTGACCCAGCCTCCAAGGTACAGCTGGAAGCTGAAGTCAAAACCTCCTGCTGACGGAGCGCTGGCCTCATGATGGGCAAAGGACTGTGGCAGCTGGGGCTTGCAGGCCCCCACCCCACCCCCAGGAAAGCCCCAACAGAGCCCCTGACAGTGACAGCTCTTTTCCAGGAGAGGCCAGGCCTGGGTGGCGGGGTGGTTGCAATGGCAGCCTGTACCCACCAGAGGGCACCCTGGCTCCGCACTGCTCAGCTGGACTCAGCTCTGTGAACCAAATGCTTTTTAATTGAAAATTTTTTTAATTCAAAAAGGATTTGCTGTTTGTACTTGAGTGCAGGTTTTCCTTATGCAGGAGACTAATGTCTTGAGTAAACAGATCTGGGCCCAGATCCACCTTCAAAGGTACTCACTGTTTGCCCAAGGGAGTGACAGGGCTTCCAGAAGCAGCCTAGTCTCTTGGGCAAACATTGTGGGGACGAGCAATCCTGGGCAGAGGACAGCGTCTGTGGGAAGGTTATCCGCAGCCTAAGGGGGATTATGTCGGGGGACATATGTTGAAATTTCATTTGGGGAGTTAGGGAAAACAGGAGGGGGGGCGGCACTTTTCTTCAGCCAAGATAACCTAAAAAGGGAAAAAGTCCTGAGGGAGAGGGGTGGGGAACAGGCCGTCTGTGCGCTGCCCCCATGGCCGGGCCCCTCGGGGTCTCTGTGTGCTCAGGCTGCAGTCAGAAAAAGGGAACGTGAACTCGTGGCTTACTCATGTACCATGGCCAGGCCACCCGCCAGGCAGCCCAGGTCCCTGCCTCCATGCTGTTCCCTGGTGTCCTGGCGGCCCTGCCCCAGCCAGGGGCAGAGCTGCCCTCCTTTTGGGCTAATGGCTGTGCCATCATCCTGGTGGACCCACCTCCCCAGGCCCTCTACTCAGTAGGTCTGGGTTCCCATCATGCTCTTCCCCAGTCAGACCCCTGCTGTGCTCCAGAGAAATGCCACCTGACTCCTCCTGTGGCCCCATCCTTGTGTGGCTGCCCTTGGATGTGGCCTTCATGCTGGGCTGTGTTGAGAGTGTCTGGGTCCCTCCCTGGGCACCCTGTGAGCCCTGGGAACAAGGGCTTTGTGGGGCTTGTGCCTGGTCCCAGCACCCAGTGCAGGGTCAACGCCAGGGTGCAGCCGACCTGAACAGCTCTGTGTGCTGCGGTGTGCGTACCTAAGCAGCCACCAGGTGGCAGCATTAGCCCAGCCTTTGCCCAAGCGGCCTGTGAGCCCCACGCAGGGTGGGCATCTGAGCGCTGGCCAGGAAGCAGGAAAGCAAGAGGCCTGGGCGCTGATGGGATGGGCAGGCAGGGATCCAGTGAGTGCTTGCTCCTTTCCAGGGACAGGAGCTACTGTGCCTCCTGACACCCTCAGGCATCCCTGGGAGTGGAGGGCCTGCCTGAGGCCCCCCACGGCTCCGAGGCTCCAGAGCCCCAGCCCCAGCGCAGCCCTGCAGCAGTCCCCTCCCTTCTCCAGTGGGCTGTAGCCGGGTGGACCCTGCAGCCCTCAGCTCAGCATCCTCCGTGACTGCACCTCCCCGCTGCAGGGTCAGCAGGCTGGAGGCCGGCTCACCAGTGTGCCGGGGCATGCGGACAGCGTGCTGCAGCTCCTGCTGCCCTCTCCCTGCAGGCCCACCTGCTGGTCCTGAGGCGCTGCCATCCTGGGTAGCCCTCTGTTCAACAGCAGCTCCGCCGTGACCCTGGGGAGCCCTTCGTCACGGCTTTTCTGTGGCTGAACCTTTTTACGTAGATGACCACTGGCCCAGCCCAGGCCCCGGTTCCTCAAACCCACATGAGCGAGGGCACAGCTGCCCAGCGAGCTCCAGGCTGCCCCACAACCCCACCCAGCCTGAGCCTGCGGCACCGGGATGCCACCTGTCAGGGTGGGCGCTCCTCTCCCGCCCCTCACTTGGGTGTTGAGATCCCTGGCCTCTGGGTGAACTGCAGGAGCCCGCGCCCATCCCGGTACTCGCCTTCTCCGGGAGGTCAGGCAGCACAGCTGGGCAGGGGGTGGGGTCCACAGCCGGGCAGCCTCCAGGCAGCAGGCTGGTGCTCAGCCTGGCACAGGGTGGCTCACACGGGTTTACCATTGGTATCAGAACCCGGGGGCAGAGGCAGGTAGGGACTGTGAAAGCTGTCACCTGTCACCACCCAAGCCCATCACCTGACAGGTGTGTTCACACCTGTACACGGCTCAGACCGACAGCCCCGGCGCGCACACCCCTGCCCACGTCACTGCCAGCGGGCACTGGCCTGGCCGGCGTCCTGCCTGGCCTGGGCAGCACGGGCCCCTGGGTGCACCGGGACTGACTGTGCCCTGCCCGCCCTCTTCCTGCAGTACGAGTACAGCTTCCGCACGGAGCAGAGCGCCGCGGCCAGACTCCCGCCCAGCCCCACCCGGTGTCAGCAGACCCCCCAGTCCTGAGGAGCGGGGCCTCTGCGGGGAGAAGACGCCTCGCCCAGTGCCCAGACTACTGACGGGGCAGCGGGGGCCGCTCCCCGCCCTGCCCGCCCTGCCCCCAGCCCTGCCTCCACCTCCCACCCCACAAGCACCCAAGACCCTGGGCAGCTGAGTGGTGACCTCCGGTCATTGGCTCGCCTGACGAGACCCCAGCCTCCAGGGGACATTGTTCACAACTGCGACTAATCTGTGTGTGCTGTAGTGACCAGCCATTCCTAGCTGTCCATGTGATGACCAGTCATGCTGCCAAACACCTCCCCCAGCTGGAGTCGTCCCCGAGGGCCCAGCAGTCCCTCCGGCCGCCCAGTGACGCACACTGGCTCCTTTTCTCCCGTCACCCACCATAGGAATCCCACAAGCCATCGTTCCCCCCCGGAAGGCCACAGGGCTGGCCACTTCACATAGGACCCTCCGGGCTCACTGCCACCTGAGATGCAGAGCTGGGGGGAGCACGTCCCTCCCACCTACAGGCTCAGGTACACCAAGCGCTTCACAGCAGCCCTGAGAAACCGCGGATGGGGAGGCCAGAGGGCCCCTTCCACTGTGGACAGCTGTGGACTCTTCGCCCAGTGCATGACTGGACACCAGAGGCCCTGCCACTGGCACAGAGGGGGACTCACTTTCCCGGGAGAGGACAGTGACCAGGCACCTGCCTGCGAGCTCGGCTTGCCCTACCCCCCCAGAGGGCTTGACTGTGGGGCACTCCAGCCAGTGACAGCGCCACCTGCCTCGGCCAGTGCCCTGACCCAGTGACTACAGGACGTGCCCCACGAGGCCGCCACAGGCAGTGACATGAGAGGTGCCCAGCACTGGAGGACACGGCCACGCTGCCATCAGGCTGCTCTCAGCCCGGCTGTGTCTCCTTGGCATCTGCGGACAGAGACAGGTCATCGTGAAAGCCCCTGACCCAGACCTGGGTTGAGCCAGGGCCAGCGTCCCCCGTCCCTGCCCGGCACTGGAGGTGCCAAGCTCAGCCCCACACGTCCACCCCGAGAACAGTCGCCAGCACCCTCCCTGGGGCCCAGGACTTCAGCCCAGGGGCCTGCTTTGCCCCAGGCCCACAGACGCGGGGTCTGACTGCTTTGGGTCCCCAGAGGGGGCTCTGGACGTGAGGGCTTGCTGCGCTTCGGAGGCGCCATGGAGGGGGCTGTGGACAGCAGCCCTGGGTCAGTACAGGCCCCGCCAGCTGAAGTTCCAGGGACGGTCCACAGGCCAAAGGAACCAGAGAGTCAACAGGCTGGCCAGGAGCTGGGGGGGCCCCAAATACCTCACCACCTGCGTCGCCCCTCGGCCCCCAGAGCCTCAGCCGCCCGCGGCGGGCCAGCCTCCTCCTCGGCAGCTCCTCCTCTTGGCCCCTCTTCGTTTCTGTGTGTCAGCAAGTGGCTGCCTGGCCCCTTCCCAAGATCTAAGGGCACCTGTGAGGTGACCCTCCCACACCTCTGGGCAGCACAAGGCAGGGAAAGGCCCTTGGCCCCCCGCGGGCCGGTGCTTCACAGGAGGGCTGGCGGGTGGAGCCAGCACCCACAGAACAAGCCAGCTGTGCTCCAGGGCCTGGGCACCCCACAACCTGCCTGCTGCTGCTTTTTGATGGTGGTTTATCCAGAACCCAGCGGCCAGCACAGCTTGAGGCTGGACAAAGGAGCGAGGCCCCGGGGCCGCAGGAGGGTGGAGGAGGGAACTCTGCACTTCGTTTTGGTTTGTCTACTTTGTTGTTCGACCTCTTTCCACCCCCTGATTGTGAGACTGTCCCCAGCAGGTAACCGGGGTCCTCGTCCTCCACAGTGGAGAAGGCAGCGTCTCCGCGGCGCTGACAGTCCTGGAAGGCCACAGGGCGACAGCAGGATCCCTGGTCAGGGATGGGGAAGGGAGAGGGCAGCCACAGCCCCCACTGCCACCCTCCCTCAGGGCCACCAGGAAGAGGGCACACTGTGGGCTCTGGCCGGTAGGAGAGGTCTCCCCATGGCATTATGGACTCAGTTTAATAATGACCTTGACTGTGAAGCTTGTGACATGAGCTGATGAGTGGTGAGGTCAAGTTGAGGTTGGTAGACATTAGGCTGCTCCCCACCCGGGCTCCTGCCCTCTGAGAGGTGGACAAGGAGGGGCAAGCGTGTGGGTCACAGCTTGTGCGTGTGTACGCCCACCCCGATGGCGTCATGCAGACCACAGGACTGTGGCAGGGTGAGGAGCTGAGGGGCCTCTCAAGTCTTAGGTGGGGAATGCTCTGTCCACCAACCCCTGGCCTCTTCTGGAAGCGAGGGACAAGGATGCCCTTGGCTATATGAAGGGCCACGGCCTCTTCCTTGGGTCCCCCCAGCATGTCCCATAGCTGCTGCTGTCCCTGCCCAGCACCCTGCCCCCCTGAGAAGACCAACCAGAGCACAGCATCCCTGAGCCCTGCCCTCCGCCCTGAAAACTCAGTCGTCTTCTGAGACCTAGCAAATGGCACAAAGTTGACAAGGAGCAGATGTCTCTTGCTCCAGGTTCACTTGCAAATTTATCATGAGGCCTTTTTTTCTACCCCAAATCCAAGAACTGATGCCACCCCGAGTTCAGTGAAGACATCACAGCCTGCACTGCCCTTCCCCATGGCCAGAGCCGTGTGGTCTCCAGCGACCAAGCTCATTTTGTAGGAAAAAACCACGGACACTGGTCGGTGGCCCCCGAGTGCTTCAGAAGGCCATGGGGGGACGGGGCTGACCTGTTCCGAGCAGCCCTCTGCTGGGCAGTCCAGACGCTTTCTCCCATAGCCTCCCCCAAAACAAGACCTAGTAGTTCACGTTCTTTGCTGCCTGTTGCCGATGGGAAACMCGAGATTGTCCCTGGCACAGGCTGGTAAGTGGCAGAGACAGGCTCTGGCCCCAAGGTGCACTGGGCCAATGTCCTTTCAAAAGCACATGCCTTGGGCTGACCCTGTTTGCATTCCTGTGACTTCCTGGCTGTCACTGGGCCCTGCTGGTCACACACTGAGCACGGGCCACCCCTATGCAGGGGCTCCCCAGGCTGCCGTTGCAGTGCTCCATCCCTTGCCATGTCGGGGGCTCCCAGCCTGCAGCTTCTGAGACCCAGGCAGGCAGGGCCCCGCCGAGCGAGCCCCGTGCCTCCAAGCCACGTGGAGCTGAGCCCGTCGAGTTCCGTTCAGTCTGCCTGACCCCGGAGCCTGCAGGAGGGGCAGGCCACTTGCTCTTGCCCCTGCACAAGGCCCCCTCTCCAGCAGCCTGGAACCTCAGGTCAGCCCAGCTTCCTCCACCTGCTCTGGGTGCAGACCCCTGGGACAGCGGCAGCCCTCATCCAGGAGCCTGGGCTTTGTCCCCGCGATGGAGGGTGCGTGGCTGCTGTGTGACCACTGGCCTCAGACAAGGACCTGAGGAAGGCCCCTCTTCCTGCATATTTATTCAAGGCAACTCTGCACTTGGCCAGGGAAGTTTCACTGTGTGGTTGTCTGTGTTCTTAATATAATTTGTTAAATAAACGTTCGTTTTAACCTCTCCCCGTCTGCTGTTGTATCTGCAGCCACCAGAGGTCAGTGTCTCTCAGGGCCGCCCCGTGACCAGCCCTGAGCCTGCCCACAGGCCGGCCGGGCTCCTTGGGACACTGCCACTGCCTGGCCTTCAGCCTTCTAGGAAGGCCGTCTTGCCCCCCACCTGGTTCAGGAGGGTGTGGGGCTCCACCTTCCTCCCAGCAGCCCTCAGGGTGCTCTGTGAAGCAGAAGAACCTCGGTGGCCCCGAGAGCTGCACCCCGGCGAGGAACGCAGGGTGCCCTTCCGTCTCGGGTGCCTCCCGCCCTGTCTGTGGGGTCACACCACACCTGGCCACGAGGATGCAGGTCCCGATGCCGTCAGGGCTGTCCCCACTGCTCACCTGCCTGCAGGACGCCACCCCCCAGGCTGGCCCAGGTGGCCCCTGCCCTGGCGGGCACCCACAGCCCCCTGTGAGCACCAGCAGCTCGAGTTTCACTATCAACATCTCTGCCTCCCTGAGCAGTGACCTTTGCATTTCTGGGCTCCACGTGCCAGCCAGGGCCGTCCCTGCCTGCAGGCTCTGTTCTTGCCAGACTCTGTGGGAAGGAGCCAGAACTGGCGACCTGAGCTCAGCACTCATCTCCTGGGCACTGCAAGGGTCCCCAAAGAGTGCCAGGGTTCCGTCACTGTCCACAGACACACTAGATCCCTCCCACATGCTGGGCCCGGGACACCAGGGAAGCACATCGAAGTGGGGGCCCTGGACACAGGAGACACTGGCCAAAGCACAGGAAGGCACACCAGGCCCATAGGCAAAACCCACTCACACCAGCCCGGGTGGGGGTGGGGTGAGCAGACAGCCCCCAAGCATCAATCGCACCGGAACCCACAGCAGGGTGGCGCTGAGCCTCGGGTCCAGACCCGGGCACACCGTTCCTCCACCTCGCCCTGTGCCTGCCTGGACATCTGCTGGCTTCCCCTCCCACTCTCTGCACACCAGCATCAGAGGGTCCACAAGCACATGGCCACCGTGTTTACCTGTCCCTAAGCCACAGTCTCATGATTCCCAATCCAGAGCCCAGGACAGACTGACAGGTTAGCTGGGCCGGGTCACCCCTTCTGCCCCTGGAAGCTCCGGCCCTGGTGGTGGCATGAGGGTATGTACACAAGCCTCCTGGAACAGGTCCCAGAGGTTCAGACCCATCTGCTAGAGAGGAGGGTGGGCTGGGCAGTGGGGCTGGGCTCCTTCCCAGGAGGAGGAGAGGAGCAGGGCTCCAGGGAGACGGGACCCTGCAGCAGCAGCCCTGGGATGGCAAGGGACGAGGGCACCCGATTGTCCTTGCAGCCAGGTCCTGTGTAGGCACCTTCAGGTGCCAGCCTCGTGCCAGCACTGCCATGAAGCAGTGACCAAATCTCGTGGCGTTCCTGCCCCAGGGGAGTGGGCGGCCTGGCCTGGCCTGCCCCTCCGGGTGCCCCGTCCTCCTTGCACCAGTGTCTACATCAGCTCTCCCCCTGCTTCTCTGGCCACTCACTCCAGCTAAGCCACAGGCTCACAGCTGGGACCCTGGCCCTTCCCTCTCCCTCTTTTTCCCTCCCAGCCACGGTGAGGTGAGTAGACCTGCCCCATGCTCACTCCCGCCATGTGCTGCCTCCCCACAGGCCCGGAGCAACAGAGCCCAGTGACCAGGGACTGAAACCCTGAGCCCAAATAAACCTTTCTCTTTTCAGTTGTTTATCGCTGGTCTTATCACAGCCACAGAAAGCTCTTCTTTGAAAAGACTAAAAGATGGACAAACTTCTGACAATAAGAAAAAAGATGTGATAATAGTAAGGAAGAGGAGGAAAAAAACAAGAAAGAAAAATAAGAAATAACTAGGTCTAACAGTTAACTAAAAAGTCTTAGTAACAATATGTCATTAAACATTTGGGGAAATACAAAACATCAAAATTAAGAAAAATGAACAACTATTAAAGATCTAAATAAAGCAGAGTTTCTCCCCTTTCCCTCACAGTATCCCCAGGACCAAATAATCATGTGGCCAAGCTCACTCAGACTCCCCGACAGGACAGTCCCTTCTGATACAACCCATTCTAGAACAAAGGAAGGGAGGAAGGCAGCCCAACTCATCTCAAGAGAGAAGTTGATCCCAAACCTGATAGAGACAATTCACAGGAACCAAAAAATTCAAGGCCTGTTTTTCTTATAAACATGGGTATAAAAATTCTTAATAAAATATTATCTAACTGAATTTAGCAGTATATATAAAACTTATGCATTTAGACTGAGTAGGGATCATTCTAAGAATGCAAGAATATTCAGCACTGGAAGGTCCACCCACGCAATTCACCCCACTAATGAGAAGGCTCCACAGTCACCTCAACCAGTGCAGAGACCGCTTTTGGTAAATACCATACCAACAATATCTATTAGCACCATCTTCGGGTCAGGGACAATTCAAGGATGCTACTACCACCATTCCATTAAATTGCATTGGAGGTCCAAGCCAATGCTATAAGACAAGAAAAAGAAAGTATATGGATTGAAAAAGAAGAGACAAAGCCACCACTCTCAGCAAGTTACATAATCATGTATGTAGAGAATCAAATGGAACCAACTATTAGAATGATAGAGTTAGTTAGGCAAGGTTGCTAGATAGAAAAGCAACTCCCAGAAATGAATAGTATTTCTCTATATGAACAACAACCAAATAGAAAATAAGAGAATCTTTTAAATAGCCCTGAAGTATCTAGCAAGACTTTTATGAAAATTTTGAACACTCAAAAGACAAAGGATATCTAAATTAACAGAAAGATATACTATATTTCTCTTTTCTAAGACCTCTTTCCACTAGGATATTATAAGTTCCGAAGGGGTGAGAACCTTTGTTGTTGGTGTGTACACTGTGAATAGAGCAGTGTTTGACACTAAATAGCCCCTTGCTAAATATTTGTTCATTGGATTAAATGTGAAGATGCCAGTTCTTTTCCAACTAATATTTGCAATTCAAATCCAATTTCGAGCAAAAATAAAATAAATAAAATCACAAATTTTTAAAGAAATTTATGCAAGACTTCTTGCAGAATTTCACAATGTTATTCAAAACTTCTAAGATGTTTATGGAATAATGAAAGTCTACATTAAACACTTAAAAGGAAATAGTGCAAAGAGGGGTTCATTTTTAGACATAGACACTGCAAAACTAATAAAAACAAGTGATACTTTTAAAACAAGTGGTACTGTAAAATGCTACAAATAGGGAAGGTGATATGGATTCTATGGAAAAGTGAAATTTTTCTATAAACCTAAAACTGTTCCAAAATTTAAAAATAAAACATTTTAAAGCATTGTGCTACTGATCCCAAAACACGTAGACGCTGGTAAGTGGGCTGGTGAAACTGCCTTGTGTGGTGGATGTGTGTGCACATGGACGCTGAGTGCATACCCAGGAGTGGCCTTGCTGGGACACAGAGGAGACACAGCTTCAGAGTCAGTGAACATTTCCAAATATTCTCCTAAAGTGGCTGTACCAATTTCTAATGTGGTTCTAGCTATTGACCCTTATACCAGCTATGTGTAATCATTCCTGTTGCCCCACATCCTGAACAAAACTAGACATTTTGCAGTTTTTTTTAAATTGGCAGTGGTAACAGGTGTGAAGTTGTATTTCACTTCAGTTGAAATTTGCATTTCCCTCTTGACTGATGAGACTCAGCCCATGGACATACGTTTACTGGTCCCTTGTGTCTTCACTGAAGATTTGGTAAGTCTTCTGCCCATTTTTCTTTTCCTTACTTTATTCCTCTTGTTTTGTTTAAGACAGGGTCTCACTATGTTGCCCAGGCTTGGCCTCAAACTCCTAGGCCCAAGCAATCCTCCTGCCTTGGCCTCCCCAGTAGCTGGGGCGACAGGTACACACTGTCAGATCTGGCTCATATTCTTTATATATGGACTCTCCAAGAAAGTCTCTCACCATACATATGTGCCAGTATCTTCTCCCACCCTGTGGACTGCCTTTTACCCTTGTAAGGGTGTATCTTTTAATGAATAAAAGTTAGGAAAATAAATGTGATTCCATTTTCTACCTTTTCCTTCATGGTTAATGTCTTAAAAATCTTTGCCCATCCTCCCAACCCCTTTTAAAATGGCTCTTATTTCTGCCACTACCTCCCAGAAAACAGGTGAGGGAGCTTCCTAGAGGAGACAAGGTGGGTCCTGGGCTCTAGGGGTGGGCCTGGGATGAAGGATGCTCCCAGTGAGGGTGACGAGGACAGATGCTCCACTCAGCATTAGCAGACGCTTAGGGGGCCACTGTGGCTCCCTGTGTGTGTCACCACCACAGTCCTGCAGCGAGGGATTCCCCCATTTAGCAGATGAGGAAACCGAGGCTCCAGAGAGTGCTCAGAAGCACACCACCAACCAAGGGTAGCTCAGGGCACCCAACCTGGGCACCCACAACTCTGGCACTATGCCTCACACAGCCTTCCACCTGCACCGAGGTGTCCTGTCCTGGAGGCAGGGTTAAGAGGAGGGTGGCTCATGAGGTCAGGCAGGCCTACTTAGGTCTGCCACTTCCCCTGATGTGACCCTGGGGCTCTGGGGTAACAGCAGCTAGCCACCCTTCAGGAGGGGGACTAGAGACCAGACCACTGTCACATGCTTGACCCAGGGTGCAGGACGGGGCTGGAATGGGGCACCCAGAGGGAGGCCGCAGGAGCCCCTCCACTGAGGGCAGGGAGACCAATGTCTAAGTTCAGGTGGCCCTGGCCCACCCCCAGCCTCTCCAGACTGTGTGACTCTGTCACACAGGTTCTCCCTCCAGACCCCCTGCTGGATTTTCACAGAGGGGACCAGGGCTCCCTGTTTGCATTTGCTTCTGGGCTAAGCTGCCCCCTCACCTCACCTACCAGAGCTTCCTGCTGGGGTCCTGGGGTGATGTGGGCTTGGTCAGAGCTGCAGGGCGGGGTCCCTGGCACCCCACCCCACTGGAGGCTCCCTAGGGTGATC